GGAGGCCACAGGCCGGTCTGAGGGACCCCCCCTTCCCCCGAGTGCACAAATTTTTGTGCACCGGGCCTCTAGTTCAATAATAAGAGTCATTTGATTATTTAAAATTTCCCCAAGCAGTCAAAATGACTGCTTTTGGGCAATAGGTATAATATATATATATATATATATACCGGAAATGGAGGGGGAAGTAACTACAATTATTAATAAACGCATTTATATGTTGTATAAAAAGTCACAAAATTCTAAGAAATTCTGTCATTATATACATCATTGTTTTTCTAATTGAAATTAAAAAGCAGTCAAAATGACTTCCTTGGGCAATCTAGTGTTAAATCCTCTCCTAAGGATATGTTTTGGTCATTGATTTTTAGAGAGAGAAAGGAAGGGAGAGAGAGAAAGAGGAACATCGATGTGAGAAACAGCGATTGGTTGCCTCCCGTACACACCCCACCCCAGGATCCAACATGTGCAACCTAGGTATGTGTCCTGACCAGGCAACTGCAACCTTTTGTTGGAGGGAACCCCCTGTGACGACACTCCAACCAACTGAGCCACCCAGCCAGGGCTGCCCAATGTTCTAAATACTAGTTTCAAGGTGTCATAATATAGTTGAAAGAGCACTGACTTAAAATTTAGAATATTGTGTTATTGGTGGAAGTGGAGTTTTTGGGGTGTCTCAAGGAAAGGAATTTCCTATGGCTCTCACGGGAAGCTGGGGTTTTGTGGAAAGCTTTATTGATGATGTAAAATTAAGGGGATTCCCTCCAAGGTCCTATCTCTATCCGTCTCACCATGGAAGAAGTCCAGTCTTGTCTTCAGTAAGGCCAGAATTGAGGCCATCGCCCAGAATTTCTGTTCCATATTAAAGGCCAGTCCAGTCAAGCATCCTGAGTGTGGAGTCTGCATGGCCCAGGGCCATGGCTGCTTAAGGCCACATGGCTGTGGAGAGAATGGGTAAGCTCACAGGAGAGAGAACAGGTGAGTGCATGGTGGGGGGGGGGGGAGGGGTGCAGGTCATAGAGCAAAAGAGAACAAGAATACAAGCCAACAAGAGCAAGCGAGAGAGAAAGAACTCTTTGGAGATTTTACTTTCCCAAGATTTCATGTGCTTCTGGTGGGGTCTACGCCCTAGCCAATCCATTGTTCCCCAGTTATACTGACAGGAATTCACCGTCCCTGTGTCTGTCGCCTGGACTTCACTACACATGTGACCATCTCCCCCTTTGTTCAATCCCTTCCCCAGTGATCTGCAGGGAATGCACCGGTGGTTCCCGGGGGAGCGTGAAGCTGTAGCTTCTTGGCGAAGCTGCCCAGATGACCATATTTATAATGTTGGGTCTCCCTTTTGCTCTCGTCCTATTATTAGTATTAATAACTAATTATAATGAAAACAATTAGATCCAAGTTCTAGTTCCACCAGTTTTTAGTTGTGCCCTGAGCAAGCTTCTATACCTGTACAACAGGGAAAATAATACCTGCACTATTACCTCAAAAGGTTATGTGAGGATCAGATGACAATGGATGTGTAAGCGCTTGGTCACCTGCAAAGTGCTATATGCATGTACATGTAGTTTTATTCAAGTACCTCTGAAGTATCAAAATCATAGAATGTTAGAGATGGAAGGTATTGTAGGAGATCAACCTGCACAACTTCTTTATTTTAAAGATGAGGAAACTGAGACCTAATATAAAAGGCCATCAATAAATAACCTGCTACAGGAAGCCTGTAATAAACCAGTCAGTCACTTTTGAACCCATTAATGATTTTAATTCATATCCTGTAGCCTTGATCAGAGATTCTTTTTGCTTCATGGAAACTATGCACTAGTCCTATATTTAATCATTAATTAAGCGTACCTAAGGTTATATTTCCAAAGAGAATGTACTGCTAATAAAGCCTAGAAATTGCTAACCAAATGCCTCAAGGTCTGACTTATCCCACTACAGTTGGAGGTGGAGGCATTGCAGAGGATGCATTAGTGCTACTGTATCTCTGACCATCAAAGACGAATTATTACCCAGAGATGATCACTTTAGGAAAAATATCTCAAAATTTATTTCTTTTGTGAAAGATGTTTATAATGAAAAAGAATCCAAGCTGCATCCCACAAAATGAAGTGATTCCATGTGCTTTGCATACAAAATTTAGTACCTCCCCCCAATCCTTTTAATTCTTATTGTCTGCATCTATCTGGATTTGTTAATATATGATACTTACTCTGTTGTTTTGAGTGGAATCCATTGGTAAAATTTTCCCCTCCCATATTTCCTACCTAAATTACGTATTTATAAGAGTTTTTCTTTCCTAAATTATATATTTAAAGAAGAAAATTATCAAGAGAAAGTTAACCCAAACTAAACATTAGAGCTTTGGAGTGTATCCTCACCTTGCCCCCTGTCCTTTGATGACACAATTTCTGGTGGCCTCACCACTGTTGCCATAGAGATAGTGATATCACCAGTTGTGATTCTGATGTCACTCACCAGTCCTAACAAGGAGGAGGTACATGGAAGACTGGGGGAGGAAACAAGATCTCGAGCTGAGCAAGAACATCCCAGCATCTTCGTTGATTTTATAAGTATATTCTGGGGTCTTCTGTCGTCACTATTCCAGTACTACAGAGGTAGGCAATCCCACTGGACTGATGAACAGCCTGTTTTCTGATCCTCTGTAGTTAAAAGGGAGAATTTAGTGATATGTGATGGGTCACTTTAATTTTACATGAATCTTCTGGAAATATGTGAGCCTCTAACTTGGCAGCATTGCAGCTAAACCTACTATCTTGGCTGCTGGAGTTTTCATTTTGTTACAGATTGGCCAGACCTCTTTGCCCATCCTTTTGGGCACAAGACTGGCTCTTACTCTCTGCTTCTTAATCTGACAATGAGACTGGAAGCTTGACTCCCTGCTGACTTTTCCTCCTCTTGGTGTCGCTGTCCAAAAGTTCTTCTTTTCTCCAGTGTTCTAATAGCAAAACCAGACTTGTATAGCTCTGTGTCCCAGTTCTCATCCACTTTCATCCTCTTCCTATTATTTCTGAAGTCTTGGCTATACGACAGAGAACTGGAAAAAGGCAGGATATATAGATGGCTAACCATGTTGAGAACGTGTCTCTACTAGTAGGGCAGTACAGGAAGAAGTATTACTAAGGGGAAGTGAAAGTAGAGGAGATCCACAGGCAAGCTTAACAGTGAATAGTACCATTGAGAGGAAGATAAACACACACACACACAGAAATTTCCAATCCTTATTTTTAAAAAATCAGTTGAAACTGATTCACCAACAACCAAATTTATTGGGTGTCTAACCACATGCCAAACACTTAGGGAATGAAAGAGAAAAAGATAATGGGTATAATAGAATACATTCTTTCTAAAATTAGTAATAAAACCTGATAAAATAAACTTCAAAACTTGATCAGATATGTATCCACCCTGCAAAAGCTTCAGTTATGCCACCTGTAATTTGAGCTTTTCTATGAATTTAGGAACCTTGAGTAAACAGGCACTTCTTGCTTATGATGAATACAGGAGAAAATGTCTTAAGATGGCGTTAAGGTCTGGCACACAACAACTATAACCATACCCCTGTGTTGCTTATGCCCTCCCTGACTGGCATTCAGTGATTTACACTCCTCAATTATTGAAGTAATCACAGTGGTGTTTTTAAGGAACATTTAGGTCAGTCCTATGATTGGCTGAAGGATCCCTCTATTAGCCATAGAAAAATGTCACAGCTTCCAGGATGTTAATCTGCATAGCTGTAATATTTAAAGGAATATACCACTGGTTTTAATATTCCCTTTCTGAGTCTCTATTTTCTAAATGAGGGGATTAGAATAAAAGGCTTCTAAGGTTAATTTATCTTTACACTGTATATAGTTAGCTTATTTTCCCCCATCAAATTTAATAGATAACACAAAGCATCCTTTTTTATTTTCCACCCTAACTCAAGGACATTACTCACCAACTTTGAAGTTAAGAAATGTATTAATCCATTCATGGCTTCATTAAACTCTTCAGATTCCCCCCCCCCTTTTCATTTCCTTATGGGAAATGTATACAGATTTAGAAATCTGAATATCATCATAAAAAAGTGTTTAAGTACCTCTTTATGTATACTATTATCCAGGACAATTTGGGGAGCTTAAAGTTTAAAACAAGCTTCATGTATACAGATAAAATGTAGAAGACATAGAAAAATAGAATAAAAACATTAGCATATATGTAAGTGGAAGTGTTTGCTGGATATATAGGTTTAGTAAGTGTACTTTCTGCTTGTGAAAGGAGTACAAGAGCAGTTCTGAGATGTTGATTTATTAGTATTATTGGAGTAGGAAGGTGTGTTAATAAATCATTGGTTAAGTATATACATCTTAGATAAAGCTCTAGGGGGAAATTATCTGCACAAGGAGTCAAGCTTCAAGAAAGCCTGAATGTATGGCTTACCACCATAGCAAACTTGAGCAAACCATTTTTGTTTTGTTCTCAGATTCTCCAATTTAACAAAAAATTTAGCTATCTGGAACTAGAAATAGGCAGTATTTGTATATGCATTCTCTCAGCACAAACTTTAAGATACTAGCTACTATGAGGAATACCGAGATGGATAAAAAAATGCATCTGGCTCAGCTGGTGTGGCTCAGTGGTTGAGCATGGACCTATAAACCACAAGGTCACGGTTGAATTCCCAGTCAGGGCATATGCCTGGGTTGCAGGCTCAATCTCCAGTGGGGCATGCAGGAGGCAGCCCATCAATGATTCCCATCATTCATGTTTCTCTCTCTCACACTCTCTCTCTCTCTCTCTATCTCTCTCTCTCTGAAATCAATAAAAATATAAAAAAGAAATAGTATTTAAAAAAGAAAATGTATCTGCCTTCATGAAGCCATCTAATAAAGGAGGTAGAATATACTCGAGCCATTAAAATGCTAAAGAGAATTAAAGAGGGTTGAAATAAAATGGAACAATCACATTCAATTAGGTATTTAGAAAATATTTCATGGATGGGTAAGATTTGACCTGGGTTATGAAGCAAGATGGTATTTAGAGGGACTTTTTGGGAGGCTGGGTGGATATTCCAAGATGAGAGCACAATGCCCTAATGTCTTCTATTTAAATGTCTTAGTAGAGGTACGATATGGAAGATAATTGATCTGGAAGCTGGTTTTGACATTAACTATTAATTCCCTTTTATAGTATGAGGGTGTATATTTCTCTCAAATCCTCAAAGGAATACTTGCAAAGTGTTTTGAGATCTATGAATTCAGGGCACTTATTCTCCACTCTAGCCACTTATCTTCTGACTGCCTTTAGAACAGCGGTTCTCAACCTGTGGATTGCGACCCCTTTGGGTGTCGAATGACCCTTTCACAGGGCTCACCGAAGACCATCGGAAAACACATATATAATTACATACTGTTTTTGTGATTAATCACTATGATTTAATTATGTTCAATTTGTAGCAATGAAAACACATCCTGCATATCAGATATTTACATTATGATTCATAACAGTAGCAAACTTACAGTTATGAAGTAGCAACGAAAATAATTTTATGGTTGGGGGTCACCACAACATGAGGAACTGTATTAAAGGGCCGCAGCATTAGGAAGGTTAAGAACCACTGCTTTAGAGCAAGTTTGAAATTAGGCTAAAAACTTTTTGTTTTCTGTTAAATAAGCCTGTATATATAATTTGAACATAGAAAATAGTCATTTCAGAAATTATTGGCAAAGAGATGAAACCCTTTTTGTCACTAGGAAACCATCAGACTGCTCCAAGAATAAGATCTGGATTTTAAATTTGAATGTCATCTTGTGCTCATTGCTTGTGTACTACATGTGAAAAATAATAAGTCAAAATTATTACTTTGTAATAAAAGCAATATGGTTCATGTGTAAAATTAATCATTTTTTGTGTTTTTCTATTGTAGATTCCTTATATTAAATGGCAGGAGGGGTGGGTAAACTTAGGGATAGTGAAGACAAAAACACATTGATCAAGAACTTTCTTCATATCTCAGAACCCATCCTCAGTAAGAGTAAGTGGTCACATCTTTTCCTTACTTTTTGTATTTAAACTAAATTCTTTTTAATTGTGATATATAGCTTAAATAATTATGTAATGCTGTTGGTTTTGTTATTTTCTATGAGAAGTAACTCATTAAGATGAAATAATAAACTGGCAGCTAAGATACTTGCATTTCAACAGTCCAGGACAGCCCATTTCCTTGTCTTATCATTCTTTGGCCAAGTAGTAGTACCGCCCATTTCTTTCTTCATGGCAATGATTCAAGCATAAGAATATTTATATGTAATATGAGCTGCTAAGAGGCAGTAAAGGGTTTGATTTCATAGACATTAACAGCTTCCTTATTGGGTTTATAAATAATATTAAAATAAGATAACAAAGTTAGAAAATCGTAGAGAAAATTTCTAAGAAAAGAATAAATAATTATCTTTCTGGAGCTAGCCTGTCTGTTTCAGAGAGGATCTCTCCAAGTAAACCCAAGCCCAGAAACTCCCAATTCTAGATGCATGTTAAAATCACCCATGGAGCTTTTAAGAAATTCAGTGCCTAAGTTTTACCATCCTAAACCCATTGAAATAAGATTCTCTTTGTGGGGGGAGAGGGGGATGATGGTACCTCAGATTCAGTATTTTTTAACCCCTTGAGTGCCAACCAGTATCCTAGGAACTATGCTAAAATTGCCAAGGCATTTTTGCTGATTTTACAGCAGTTTAGGAAAAAAATTATGAATCGCAAGTAAATGAAGTTACAGATTCAAAAACTTAAGGAAACCTTTACTACATTTGTTTTCATCTTTGACATATATTGTTTGCTGATTGTATTATAAAATACTAGTAGAAAAAAAAATTGAACAAAGCATATAATATTAAAATAAAGTGCTCCCGGCACTTTTGGCGGAAGACAGGAGGAGCGCGATAGTGCTTCCCGGCACTCAAGGGGTTAAACAGTTTTCTGGATGATTCTAATCAGGGTGGAGAACTCATTGCTTACCAAAGGAATCTTATTATAGTGTCAGGAAGAGTAAAATAAATGGTTTCCCTAGCTCAGTGAACTGAGTCAGTGATTGGGGTATTAAAACGGGTACAGCCCTAGCCAGCTTGGCTCAGTGGATAGCGTGTCGGCCTGCGGACTGAAGGGTCCCAGGTTCGATTCTGGTCAAGGCCACATCCCCGGTAGGGGGTGTGCAGGAGGCAGCTGATCGATGTTTCTCTCTCATTGATGTTTTCTGCTCTCTATCCCTCTCGCCTCTTCTCTGTAAAAAATCAATAAAATATCTTTAAGAAAGAAAAGAAAACGAGTACAAATCCCGTGGGAGCAAAGAATAAATGCAGGCCAGGGGATTGTCAAGGGTGGGGGGAAAAAAGGACACATATGTAATACCCTTTGTAATACTTTAAGCAATAAAAAAAAACGAAAAAACAAATGCAATTGCACCATGAAAAATTGGATAAGCTCCTGGACTTTATTATTATAGAATTTTAAATCAGTATATTTGTTAGAATCAAAATATCGATATATATGTATGTTTCACATAGATGTTTGGGGGCATTGGAGTGGAAAAATTGGCCATCTTTTTCAATGTTGCTTATTGACAAATATAGACCTAAGCAACGTTTCTAATAAAAGAAGGGAAATTTCATTGTAGAAGCCTGGCGGTGGAAGTTTGTCATGGAAAAGGGGGAAAGAGAAGCTTCTCATGCTTTTAGATTATCAATGGGCAGATCATGATAATTAGCCATGTTCCTGAGGACTATCAAATAAGATGCCGTGAAAAGTGAATGAGAATAAGGCCAAAGGAGTATTTGGAATAAGGGTTATGAAGCTCATTTGTGAGGTAAGGTGATAAAAACAGCAAGGATTAGCAATTCTTTCAAGAAAAAAGGTGACAACTGAGAAAGAAATAGTAGAGGGAGGCTTGGGGTGGAAGAAAATGAGTATCGGTTTTCTGGCTTACTTAGAAAAGCAGGTCAATGGTGGTGTCATTACAGAGATTAGGGATTGGAGAAAAGTCTTGGGAGGGTTATGAAAGATCAACATGCAAGGTATTACTCCTCCATGGACAAAGGTGGTGCATATGACATCTGTCTTCTGGCATTCAGAAGTTTGGCTGAACCGGGGAGTTAGAATTCTTCCAGGATTCTTCGCTAATTGGAGGAGGAAGAGCTACTAGACTTACTGCTAATAAAACTAAGCTGGTGGTCTAGAAATTAATTAAAAATGAACTGTGTGCCCAGCCCGGGTGGCTCGGTGGTTGAACATCAACTTATGAATTAGGAGGTCACAGTTAGATTCCTGGTCAGGGCACATGCCTGGGTTTCAGCTCAATCCCCAGTGTAAGGTGTGCAGGAGACAGCCGATCAATGATTCTCCGTCATCACTGATGTTTCTATCTCTCTCTCTCTCCCTCTCTCTTCCTCTCTAAAATCAATAAAAATATATGTATTTTTAAATGAACTGTGTATTACTTTTTTTAAAGTTGGTGGGGGCAAGAACAGGCAGGGAAGAGTAAATTAATTCTATTTTATCATGTTGAATTTTGAGTGTTTATTGAAAATCCAGGATGTGGAAGGGCTGTCAAGCAAGTACACCAAAAGCAGGACATGAGCGCTTAGGTTCTTTGATGAACAAATTTGTATTAAGCACCTTTAGTATAGACCAGGCACTGGCGTTAGCACAAGAGATACACGTGTTTAAGAAATCCTCCTGCAGTTGAGAGCTGAAGTTATCCAGAGGTAGGTGAGTTTGAAGTAGCTCTTGGCACAGGTCACTATTGAAAGCATTGCTCCTATATTCCACACCTCAGCTATTTACCTTATTTCTCCCTACTTTCATATCACTTAACCCTTCTAATACCCCCCCCTTTTTTTTTCTACTTCCAGATGTCTGAGAGGGTTGACTGGTTACAAAGCCAAAATGGGGTGTGCAAAGTTGATGTCTATTCACCTGGGGATAGCCAACCCCAGGACTGGAAAATGGTAAGTTGTCAAACCTCCTTACAGATACATACTGGGTTCAGGGTATGTGGAGTGCCATTAAGAGTAGCCCTATTGTCTCCACCACCACCATCCACCTCTTATTTTTGAATACTGATTTCTTGGGGGGAAATGAACTTGTTTAGAACAAAAAATTTCCATCTACAATTTTTGGGAAACATTCCTATAATATGATATTTAGTAGGAGAAATATGCCATATTTAATGAAAATATACATTATAGCTGTAAAATTTTGTTCATAGAAAGTATTTTCTGAAATATAGGCTGCCTCAAAATGGTCAGAATTATAAACTCTCATCTAAGTAATATTGTCATTCTGCCTTCATCATTCGACAAACATTATTAAATACTTACTTAATATCAGGCACTGTAAGTCAGGGTCGAGTCAGAAGATGGAAACCAAACCAGTAATTTCATGTTAAAATATTGTTTATTAGAGGTAGTTTAACCAAGTTAACTACTAACGCTGTAAAAGAGGACTCTCGAGTTCTAGCAGTAGCAAATGCAAAAAGCAGCTATCCCTAGGCTGAGAGAGTTAACAAGGAAGACACGGAAAAATTCACAAAAACTCTTATTTCTCAATCAAGGCTGCTTAAGATCTCTTTGGAGAAAGTGTGATTGTCATGGGATCACACAGCCTGCCTAAGAGATAAAACATTTACATATCTATAAAAGACATTAAGACATATAGATAATAAATATCCAGTTACTATAGAGTAAATGCCAACCAAATCTACTTCTATCAGATCTTTTATTTACCTCTGTCCTTTCATTTAGAAAAACAAAACAGATGAGTTTTAATATTAAACAAATTAATAGAAATTTCTTCATTTTTCACTGAGAATCATTCTGGGGAATGCAAAAAAGAACAAAACTATTTCCGTTTTCATAGACATCATTAATTTGGGAAAATAAAAAATAAATATGAAAATATAAGTATAATTTAAAAGCTCTAAGTAACTGGCAGATACTAATGATAAGAAATCTATGATTATTTGCCAAATGGATTTTCTGGATAGTAATTGCTATAGCTGTTTAAAGAACAGATAATTTCAAAGTGAGAGGTAGCCAGGGAAACCTTTATAAAATATGCTTAACTGAGCTAGAGATGAAGAATAGAATGGAAGTTTATAGTGTGTTGACTTAAAACTAAGCTCCTGCCCTGGCCTAGTGGCTCAGTTGATTGGAGTATTGTTCCATACACTGAAAAGTTGTGGGTTTGATTCCCAGTCAGGGCACATATCTAGACTGTGGGTTCTATCCCGGTTGAGGCGCATATGGGAGGCAAATGAATGTTGTTTCTCTCTGTCTCTCTTTCTCTTCCCCTTCCTTTCTTTCTAAAATCTATAAAAACATGTCCTCAGGTGAGTTTTGAAAAAATAAAACGAAGCTCTTAAAGCAAAAGATGCCAAGGAGAGAAAATTAAACCCCTTGACCCTTTTCATATTCTTTGTGAAGACATGAAATTTTTCCCTAGCTTTGATTCAGAAAGATTCAGAAATAATTTGATATCCACCTCCCTAAAAGAGATGGGTATTTAGTTGTACATTGCACTGATAGAAAAAGAAATATGATTGGCCTTTCAGTCAGTCACTATGGCTTCATCAAGGACTTTTGCAAAATTCTTCTATTTATTTAACTCTTTAATGAGGAAATTGATGGAGTGTTATAACCAGTACAAGTGGAATAATAGACATAGAGTACACACATTTTAGGTTTAAAAAACATAGATAATAAAAAACTATAAACGCAGCAAGCCTTGGCCAGTGTAGCTGAGTTGGGTGGAGAGTCCTCCCAGGCACCAAAAGATTGCAAGTTCCAGTCAGGGCATATATCTAGGTTGCTGGTTCAATCTCTGGTGGGGGCGTGGCCAATTGATATTTCTCTCCTTTCCCCTGTCTTTCTCTCACAAACAAACAAACAAAACCTAAAAACACAGCATGCTAACACAACTCTATACTCTATCATGAAGTTCTATGCTATGCTGTAGGTTTGTTGCTATTTTTTTAATGTTCTGTGAAAGAACTGAAAAGGATAAAAGAATAAATCCCACATCTGCATTAACCAGACTTACCTTTACATGTTAGCTCAATTATGGAAACACGCCTATTTGCAGATAGTGTGCCTATCTGTAAATAAGTAGTCACTGTTAAGGGGTAATTTTCAATAAAGGGTGAAATCAAGATTCCCAATCAGATATGAAAATGAATGCATGTTAAAGATTTTATTAAACTCTTTAATGAAGAGACTGATGAAGTGTTATAACCACTTCAAGAAGAACAAAATATATATATACATTTATAGGTCAGGAATATTGAAATAAATGCACAAATAGAGGTAAAACTGGCTTCTTCCACAGTGGGAAAGGGAAGTCAGCTGAACTTCCACTGGGCAGAATTTACATGTCTATGGACCACAGAATTATTTTGCATTGCTATCATTATCTACAGTTTACAGACATGTAAAATAGCTTCCATAGAATCCAAAACAGATTATGTAGAAAGACATAAGCAATGCTTAGTCTATAGACTATGGACTAGGGATAATACATAGTTTTATATTGAAGTACAAGTTTTTTTCCCCTACAGTTGCCTTCATTTTAATAAAAATTCTCAAAGTAACTTTGACCACAAAGTCAGGATAGTCTCATCAGAATTGGCCTGATTATTTACATAGGTACAGCAACCAGATAGTTTGCTTTGCTGGAAGTTTTCATAAGGAATCTTAGGTTGGACTTGTAAAGGCCTTTATTATTTGCTATTCTGTGACTAGAAATTCAAGACTAAGAAACCCTACCAGGTTTTACCTGCAGTTCCTAGAAGAACAAGCATGTATGCCATTGGATTTCTTTGACATTATGTTCCTAAATATAATCTCAACCATTTCTATTAATTATAACTTTTTTCAAAGTATTTTCTTTCTATTTCAAAAGGAAAACTATGGAGGGAGAGGTATATAATTGTGAACTATTACACACCAGCTAATGTACAGAATAGTAGAGCTCATGATACATAAGACAGTTTTTACAGCCACGCACATTCCTTCTACAACCTATATGGCAAAAATGAACACATTCATTAACAGATCCAACGTCATATACTTTCTATAGCAATAAAAAATAAGAAGCAAAATCATATAAGCTATGCTTAGTTATCAATATTTCCTTTTCCATTTTACTTAGGTATCATCTAAGCAACCCATGAATATCCATTAACTAACTCAATTTAATACCAGTCCAGTGTTTTAAGTTACATAAAAATGTTGGAAATGTCCTGGCTGGTTTGGCTCAGTGGATAGAGCATGGGCCTATGGACTGAAGGGTCCTGGGTTCGATTCTAGTCAAGAGCACATGCCCAGGTAGCAGGGTCATCCCTAGTAGGGGGTGTACAGGAGGCAGCCAATCAATGATTCTCTCTCATGAGTCTACCTACCTCTCTCTCCCTCTCCCTTCCAATAAAAAATGTAAAAAAAAAAGTTGGAAATTTATAATCAAGTTGACATATTATAAAACATAAATTGAAATAAAGTTTGTCAGAATAGTTATTCAACTGGATTAAATACAAATTTATATTTTTCATCATCTTAAACATTAAGTAGAAGTAATACTAACTTATTGGATCTGTGTAATGTACAAATTTATGAAGATCATATCAAAGTGAAATAAAAATGAACACTAGTATTATTCTTTTTTTCTTTTCATTTTTTTATTAAATCTTTATTGTTCAGATTATTACATTTGTTCCTCCTTTTTCCCCCCATAACTCCTTTCCTTCCAGTTCCCACCCCACCCTCCGCCCTCACTCCCCACCCACTGTCATCCATAGGTGCACGATTTTTGTCCAGTCTCTTCCCTCATCTCCCACCCCCCTTTCCCGCCCAAGAATAGTCAGTCCATTCCCTTTCTATGTCCCTGATTCTATTATAATCACCAGTTCATTCTGTTCATCAGATTATGTATTCACTTGATTTTTAGATTCACTTGTTGATAGATGTGTATTTGTTGTTCATAATTTGTATCTTTACCTTTTGCTTCCTCTTCCTCTTCTTAACACTAGAAAGACTGAAATTTAGTATATACCTATATTGCCCAAAAGCAGTCAAAATGACTGCATTGTGAAAGAATAACTAATGTGTAC